ACTCCCTATGTGAGCCGCTATAACCATACTACAACCGGATGACCTGTTACAACGTTTTTCAGACGTTAAAATTTGTTATGACTTTTGTCACCCGTAGACCTGCGGGTCCCGCTGTAGCTAGCAGCAAGGTGTGGGGTGTCAATCCCAATATAGATCTATACACAATTATCACGCTCTCCCTACAAGAGATTCTGGTTATAACTTACAGGAATTTTTAACCTGTACTCTAAGAGTACATTTGAAGAATTGTCTCACAACTTACGTTAACGAGTTTACGTGTAGTGTTTGAGTAAGAACCTTTTCTGTGGTGGGAGTGAAATCCCCCTTTGTGTACCAAATTAGTGATGTGAATTTCCTAAACCATACCTATTATAGTTTATCATGTAGTAGTTGAAAATCCGATAGTATTGTAGTGAGACCCTTCATGTGTATGTAATAGTTTAACCAATGCATAACTATACTTATTATATTTCATCTTGCATTATTTGTAATTACAAAGGACCCTTATACTTGATAGAGTATTTTCTATTATATAAACATATCACAACAGATAAACACATGCAAAATACAAAGTCATCAAAGGTTACACTTTGCTCAACATGTTACAAAGTGTTATGAATATTGCAAGATGTTAACTTGTTTTTAACTTTTCTACACTGTTTTAGAAAAGTCATAGAAAAATTATACGAAGTCAAAAACCGAATCCGTAAACTCTGAGAGTTTAGAAAAATGTGTCTAGTTTATTCATAATTTTTATTATGATTTTTAGAAGTCTCTAACTTGTGTGAAAATATTCATATTCACAGACTGGTTCGAATTGGTTTCTGAAATGATAGGCAGTTTTGTAAAAATCACCATAAATCGTAGAAAAATTGTATGGAGATGTGCAAATAGTCATTTTAAATGTAAGAACCTGAACTATTTGCATATTAAACAGTTTTAAAAGATATTAAGTTTAAGATGGTCAAAACAGTCCGTGAATGGAACCAAACTTTCCTGTTGAAAGCTGATGTTTGAGTTTAGTTAAGTATTTGGTATTATAACTTGTATTCTCCCCCTAAAACTTGAAGAAAACATGAAAATGTGGAGGTATGAACTCATCTTGAGTTATTCCCTGAGATGAAGGTGGAAGAAGAAAGGTTTCCAAGTCAAGAACACTTGGGAGATACTTGAAGATTCGAAGATCCTAAGCACAAATATGACGATATTTGTATAAGAATTTCATGATTTGAGTGAAGGAGTGTAGAGTATTCAAATGTAGGATGAATATACTTACCAAGACTGAAGTGAAAAGCTCAAGAACAGCCTTGAAATCTCGAGTTCTAGAGAGGGAAAGTGAGAGAGAGTGGTGTTTGCTTTTTGGTGAGAGAGAGTGAGTAAAGTGGAAGGAGATATGAGAGTTTCCAGCTTTTGAGGAAGCTATGCAGCTGGAGGAGGGGTGTCAAAGGACAAATAGTAGACTAGGTAGGGAGGAATAGTGACTGAGGGTTATCCTATGAGGGTATGGGTGTTAACTTGTGTCATACTCTAGATAAAGTCAACATTCCAACACCATATCTTACCCAAAAGATATTGTACTTAGTTTAGGACCCCCCCCCTCCTCAAAATGTGATAATCATATGATAATATAGGGTTTCTTAAGTCAAAACATGAGTTTGGGTGAAAATCCCGCGTTAAAATCACGAAAAACGAGCTTAAAACGAAGTCGGTGTCGAAAACCGAGAAAAAGGGTGAAATCTGCGAAATTCCGAGCTTAGGGCCGAAGGTTCGGTCCTTAGGTGCTTAGAACCGAGAGGATGGTTCGGTTGATGCATGAGAACCGAGAGAAGGGTTCGGTCCGAGCCTCGCAGGCGAAGCCATCAGAAGGAACCGAAGGCGAAGTAGGCTAGAAGCGAAAGGTAGTTCGGTCCGATGGGACCTTCGGGTTCGGTTCTTGTGGAGGTCTCGGTCCATGGCAGTTTCGGTCCTCATGAGTTCGGTTCTTAAGCTAGTTTCGGTTCTAATGAGAGGTTCGGTTCCTTAAGAGGGTTCGGCTCCTTAAGAGGGTTCGGCTCTTTAAAGCTGTTTTTCGCATAAACTTCCGTTTTCGAGTTGTTTTCGACTAAATTAAGGGTCGGGATGCCCCGAGTGATTATAAAAAGTTGAGAGAGATTTGGAGAGAGATTTAACATACTTAGAGAGATTTGGGAGAGATTTCACATACTTGGATAGATTTGGGAGAGATTTCATATTCTTGGAGAGATTTCACATACTTAGAGAGATTTGGGAGATATTTCATATTCTTGGAGAGATTTCACATACTTAGAGAGATTTGGGAGAGATTTCACATACTTGAAGAGATTTGGGAGAGATTTCATATTCTTGGAGAGATTTCACATACTTGGAGAGATTTGGGAGAGATTTCATATTCTTGGAGAGATTTGGGAGAGATTTCATATTCTTGAAGAGATTTCACATACTTGGAGATATTTCATATTCTTGGAGAGATTTCACATACTTAGAGAGATTTAGGAGAGATTTCACATACTTGGAGAGATTTGGGAGAGATTTGAGATAGAGAGAGATAGAGAGAGAGAGAGGTTTGAGAGAGACTTCGTTTGTGACCTTTTTGGATGTTTAGCTTCGCCACGCAAGGTTTGTAAGCCTCGCTAAGCCTCGTTATGAATGTCATATGCTCCCGAGGGGTACAAAATAGTGTTTTACCAAGTAGTTTCATCCCTTATCCTGATTAGGGTTTGAGAATTCTAAACCTATGAATTTTTCAAGTGATAACTTCTTATTAAAATAGCGAGTTTTACAGTAGTAACATAATGTAAACCCTAATATACAAGGTTAATTGAGTTGACCGGTTTGACTTGTTGACTTTATTTGACTTTCACTTGACCAGAATTTGACGGTTGTCACAAATCATCTACTAAAGTAAGGAAATAATTTGCATTCGTGTATGAAGGTATTTTGTAACCTCCCCAAATGTCACAGTGAACTAGCTAAAAAATATGACTGGTTTTATTATGACAAATAGGGAAAGATGTTCTGACTAATTTAGCCTTAGCACAAGAATCACAAACTTTTTCACCCAAATTAACTGAATTGTTCTTAAGAAAATCAATTCTTGAAAGCTTTTCTTTTGAGGCGTGACCTAACCTTCTGTGCCAAATGTTCGTCATGGTTGCCATGGCTCTTCTGTCTTGAGTCATCCCTATCCGGTAAAGTCCTCTTTGGCGTCTACCTGTACCAATCAAGTTCCTGGTGTTGAGCTTCTGCATGACACAAAAATCAGGGAAAAATGTTACAGCACATTGTAAATCATTGCTAATACGATTGACAGAGAGAAGATTGCACTTGAAATCTGGAACACATAAGACCCCGCTGATTTTTACTCCCCTGGGAGGATACAATCTCCCTTTTCTTTAGTAGGTATAGAGTCCCCATTAGGTATAAAAAGAGGTGGTTCAAAAGGAGCAGCAATTTTATTTGTAAATAATTGAGGAGTGTGAGTAATATGTTCCGTACAACCTGAATCAACGATCCAGTCAGCCTTACCAGCCATGTTAGCACTTCGAACTGTCTCATCATCAACCTTTGAGGAACTGAAATGTTTCACGAACATTTGGTACTGTTCTTTGGTTAATTCAGGTATTGGGCTATCTTGCATTTCTGTATGGGCTACCATGGTTTTAGGCTTGTCTGTTGTTTTCTTACCGGGCCACCAATCCGGGTATCCCACCAATCTGAAACAACCATCTCACTTGTGACCACTCTTGTTACAGAAGGTACACTACTCGTCCCTTTTATCTTTCACTTCCTTGTTCGCCCATTTGGGATTCGCTTCTTCAAACCTTCGTCTGGAAAGTCTTGAACGCAGCCGGTTCAGGCGGAGTTTTCTTGTCATCAGATAGAGCCCTCTATCTTTCGTCCTCGGCGACTAAGTGATACACCACCCCAACGAAGGAGTAGGTTTCGTCGCCAAAATCTGTGTTTTAGTTATCGAAAATTGTGAATCCAAACCCATTAGAAATTGATACAAGCGTTCCTTTTCTTGGAATTCAACTAATTGTTTACCGATTTCACAGGAGCAATTGTTACAAGAACATCTTGGAAAAGGAAGAATTGAGGACGTCTCATCCCACAGTGTACGTAATTTTGTGTAATAAACTGAAACAGAGTTACCGTCTTGACGTGTGGCTGCAATCTTCTGCTTCAACTCATATGCTCTTGGCGAACTCTCCTTTCCAAAACGTTCATGAAGGTCATTCCAGATTTGTGCAGTCGTGTTCGCGTATTTCACGCTGTCGCGTATGCCCTTCTCCATTGCAGTGGTAAGCCAGCCCTTTATCATAGCGTCACACCGCATCCAAGGCATGTATTATTTCGTTCCATTTTCTGGTTTCTGGATTGTACCATCGACGAATTGAAATTTATTTTTGGCAAACAGGAAATTATCCATCTCCTGTCTCTAATCGGAATAGTTTGCGTCGGAAAGCACTTCATTGACATGAAGCGGTTTCGGTATGTCGGATGGATGAAGATAATAGGGTGAGTTGTGATCAAACCCGCCACTGGATCCTTCTCCATTTTTTGTCTTTGTCTTTTGGATCTCTCGTCATGCTTTAGCGGAAGCAGATACGGTTTAGGGTTGTAAACACTACTCTGATACCATCTAAGAAACGATGGTATAGAGTTTGGAATAATATTCAGATTTTTTATTCAATACGCCAAATGAGGCTTAATATAGGTTACAAAATTAGACGCGAATAACAAACTAATCTAGAATGACGCGAATAACAAACGAGTAATAGATAAAGTAATGACAACTAATAAATTATATCCAATAATATCATGGGTTTATTTTGTGCATACGACAACGTACGTAAAAACATGCACTTAACATCGGAACTCTCACATGCTACACATTACAATAATAAATAAGCCAACAAGAGCTTATTATTGCAACATTGTTTGATGGATGGTAATCATGTTACAGAAACTTGAATTTCAATAACCACGTACATATATGCATACCCGAACAAAACGACCAAGTTTATATAACACTATAACAGTCACATACTATTACTATTAATTAACTTACCAAACATTTTATTGTAAAAAATGCAAGCATGTGTTCACGTGGAGGAAAGGTATTCTTGGCAACTTGACAGTTAACGAAATCATCAGCCCATTTGGTTAGTTTTGGAAACTTGTCTTCAGTGAAGAACTTAATTCCAGCTGCTTATTCCCTTATTCTAAGCCAGTAAGCTATGAAAACAGCAACAATGTCGATCAGGTTGATGTTGTGGCCTCCAAAGAACTTTGTACCTTTGAGTTTGAGTTCATTTTCTAGTACTTGCAGTTGCTCACAAGCTTCTGCAACAACTTTCTCATCTGCATTTCTGCCGACAACCCTGAGTGCAGGGATGCACTGAACAAACCATAAAATGTAAATAATCATCAATACAAAACACAAATTACGTTTATGATTTATGTTTTATTTATAACAAAAGTCTATAATACAATGTTATTATATTTAAAAAATGATAAAACTAAAATATAAAATAGATATATAATAGTCCAAACATCTTTATTAAAATTTTCGTGTATGACTTACAATTTTAAAATAGATATATAACAGTTCTGATTGCCTTCGTAAAATCCAATCAACTTCATATAGGGTCCGTCGGAGCTTCTGCCTTCTTGTCCAACAGCTTTATGTGTTTTTAAAGGTTTAATTCCAGTGAATTGTTGGTGGGGATAAGTAAAGCATGCTTTGAGTATCATCTTCATTAAATTAGAGATTTTGGGTTGATGTTTCAATGGAAGAAGATGAAATACTAAGAAGCTATTTTTGTTGCCCACCAAGTGTTTGATAAAATGCCCAAACCAGTTTTTCTCGTGTTGCAGCCTTATTGTTCAAGATAATGTAGTTTGTTTAGTTTGGATGTTTCTTGTGCACACCAACAGTGTGTTGGTGTTCCATTTCCTTCCCTTCCTTGTTAAATATTGCTTCATAGTTTTAGCTTCATCTCGAGGCTTGTTCTCTTGTATGGCTTCTTCTTCCACAAGTTCGAGTGATTTTTGTCTGTGCCCGTTCAGAAGCTTCCATTGTTCCCCAAATGGTGAAGTGGGAAGTAAGGGGATTGGCCGTATGATTTCACACATCAAAAGGCATCATTTACCTACTAAAGACCGTAAATGTGTGTTACGTGAAGCTCTTTCTAGTGATGTTGTTTATTTATGGCAGTGGAAGAAACTTTGAAGGCCTTTGGTCAATGGATGTGTGGGAAGTGTATGACTTTGCAGGCTCTTAGCCGTTACTATCATCACCCGGATGGTCGTGCGAGGTTTGTTACAGGGGATGACGGCTCGAGTCGTTACATTGTCGGTATTCTAAAGCCGTCAGCTAAAGAGTCGGTGACAAATGCTCTTGGAGGTTTGGTTTTTGATGTTCCGCTCATTGATCGTGTTTTTAAAGAGCCTATCACTACTGTCAAGAGTATCCCCCATAGTTGTCGCCTTGATTTCTCTTAGGCTTTGAAGACTGCTCTCTACAAGGTGATTGTCCAACCTGGCTAGGTTGAGGCATGGATGTGTTTGTTACTTCTTCCTCGCTGCACACTGCAGGTGTTTAGACCCAAAAATAGACAAGAATGTAGGTCTGGGAATAGAAAATCCTTACAACAAAGCTCCATCCTAAAGTCCTTGGATACATGGGGGAAAGAGGGTGGTATCACGAAGTTAGTTCAAAATATGTTAGACAATCCCGAGGCTGGAGCTATGAGACAGGGTAGAGGCATCCTTCAGAAGGAGTCTACATCAAGTAACACCAACATCAGACAGTGTCTCCGTAAGGTTGCAGATGGTCATTTTACCGCAGCAGTGAAAGTGTTATGCTCATCGGGTGTTGCACCATATAATGGTGATACTATTAAAGCTTTGGAGGACAAACACCCTTTCAGGCCACTCCCATCCATGCCGAGCCCCATAATTTATGAACCTCCCCTTGTAGCAGACTTTGACTGTGTATTTGGTTGCATCAAATCCTTCCCTAAAGGAACTTCTTGCGGGAGAGATGGCTTGAGGGCTCAATACTTACTAGATGCCTTTTGTGGAGAAGGGTCTGCTATTGCCATAGATCTCATACATGCTATCACTTCAGTGGTTAATTTATGGTTAGCGGGAAGATGTCCAACCATTTTGGCAGAGTTTGTTGCGTCCGCTCCTCTCACGCCTCTACTTAAACCTGACAACGGGATCTGTCCGATTGCAGTAGGCACTATATGGAGACGTCTGGTTTCCAAGGTTGCCATGAAAGGTGTGGGTAAAGAAATGGCCAAGTACCTTACTGATTTTCAGTTCGGGGTTGGTGTATCCGGTGGTGCCGAGGATGTGTTACACAGTGCCAATAGGGTGTTGAGTGAACACCATGTTGATGGGTCTCTTGTAATGCTGACTGTGGATTTCTCGAATGCCTTTAACCTGGTAGATCGATCAACATTGCTCCACGAGGTTAAGAAGATGTGCCCTTCCATTTCTTTGTGGGTGAATTTCTTGTACGGGCAAGCAGCGAGACTTTATATCGGAGACCAACATATATGGTCTGCCACTGGGGTGCAGCAAGGTGACCCCTTGGGCCCTCTTCTTTTTGCCCTCGTTTTGCACCCACTTGTGTACAAGATTAGAGACAATTCTAAGCTCCTTCTCCATGCTTGGTATCTAGATGATGGGACTGTCATTGGGGATTCAGAGGAGGTGGCTAGAGTGTTGAACATTATTCGGTTGCATGGTCCAGGTTTGGGTCTTGAGTTGAACATCAAGAAAACAGAGATTTTTTGGCCTTCCTGCGATGGTAGGAAGCTACATGCCGATTTATTCCCAACGGATATAGGGAGGCCTTCTTTGGGGGTGAAGCTCCATGGGGGGGGCTATTAGCAAAGACACAGGGTTTATTAGCGGGCTGGCCATGAAGAGAGCGGTCAATGTTGTTGATTTGATGGGCCTTCTTCCACAACTATGTGACCCGCAAAGTGAGCTCCTTTTGCTTCGATCATGTATGGGAATTGCAAAACTTTTCTTTGGTTTAAGGACATGCCAGCCGGTACACATAGAAGAGGCAGCTTTGTTCTTTGACAAAGGATTGCGCAGGTCTATCGAGGATATGGTGGTATGTGGAGGCCCCTTCTTTGGAGACATTTAGTGGCGCCTGGCTTCCTTACCTATTCGTTTTGGTGGTTTGGGTTTGTACTCGGCATACGAGGTTTCCTCCTACGCATTTGTAGCCTCGAGGGCCCAATCTTGGGCATTACAAGACCACATCTTACGTGATAGTGGTGTATGTGGTATGGACTCAGATTACCTATGTTCTATGACTCGTCTTCGCGATATGATTCCGGGATTTGACTGTAGCGGTTTCACTAATAAGGACACCGCCCCACTAAATCCCAAAAAGTTTTGGCGTGTGCCCTTTTTAGCAAAATCATCCAAGATATGGATGTCGACTACTACATGACTGTCAGACAGAAAGCAGTCTTTGAGTGTCTGCGGGCACCTCATGCTCAGGATTTTCTGCTAACTATCCCTATTGATGGTCTTGGCCAGCATATGTCTCCTGTGGAGTACCGAACTATCCGTCGTTACCGCCTCATGATTCCCATATTCCCAATTGACGAGATATGTCCGGTTTGCCGCAAGGCATGTTTGGATACCTTTAGGGAACACGCGGTTCATTGTAGAGAGCTCCCTGGTTTCAAGTACAGACATGATGTGGTTTGGGATGTTCTCTTTGATGCTTGTCGGCGTGCTGGTATTTCTGTGAAGAAAGAAGCGCCGGTGAACTTTTTGACAGACCCGCAGGATGGAAGGTCCACACTGAGACCGGCTGACATTTTGGTCTTTGGATGGATAGGAGGGAAGCATGTGTGTATGGATCTTACTGGGGTCTCTCCTCTCATTGGTTTGGGGAGCGGGGGTTTCACAGCTAGGTATGCCGCTTTGAAAGCCGCTGCGTGCAAAGTGGTAAAGCACGAGAATGCATGTATAGAAAATCAACATGTGTTTGTACCTTTTGCATTCGATACATTTGGTTTTCTCGCACCAGAGGCGGTGGAGCTCCTCAATAGAGTCCAACGGGTCATGCATTCTAATGTCATATCTCCTAGATCCACAAATGTAGTTTTCAAAAGAATTGGTTTTGCCATCCAAAAAGGGCTAATGGCGCAGCTTGTTGCTCGTTTGCCTTCAATCGATATGTATTGAACCTTTTATTTTAACAAAATTTGGTTTGATCAAAAAAAAAAATTATAACCTTATCATCAAGAAATTTTGCCCAGAATCGAGCGTCAGCTCTCTCACTAAAATCCTGAGGTAAAATCGGATCCCCTTTCCAGACATCATCGATGTATTCAACGATCACAAGAGACTCTGCGATCGGATTTCTGTTGTGAAGCAGCACCGGTACTTTCTTAAGAATAGGATTGTACTTCAATAGGTCGGCACTCTTGTTGCTGAGATCTTCTTCAATATTTTCGTACTTGATTCCCTTCATATTCAAAGAGATTTTTACAATACAAACAAATGGACTTTCCTTAACGCCATACAACTTCACTTCATCAGCCATTTTCTGATGACCTAATCGAAACAACAACACCTACTTACAACGTTGATATGGGGATCGATGACAAGATTCTTAAATGTTTCGGGGAACGATGGATATAAATTCTAGCTAGCCCCAATCGATCGAGTTGTTGTCCCTTCAATATATAGTATAATCGGTTTCCACTTCCAGCAGAACAATTATTGAGAATTACGCTATGAAGAGTTGTATGATATAAAAGATAAGTTGTACACAATGTTGAAATCTATAACATTATAATATGTAGACGGGGGTAGGCAGTAGGCTCCATTTAAGATGGGGAGCTACTATTCATCTCCATCCCCATATTGACGTACAATAAAAATATATATACAAGATGTGACCTTTTTGTAATATTGTTATATTGATAAAATAAATATTATGCATACTACAAGAAAAATCATGAATAGCTACGGAAAAATGCTACGAAATCAAATTTTGTAGCTATTTTGCTACGGAATATGCTACGGAATGACTTTCCATAGACTTTTTGTTACAAAATTTTCTACGAAATAAAATTTCGTAGCAAACTTATAACTAATTACGGAAATTTGTTACATAATCGTAATCTGTAGTTAGTCTGCTACTGAATTTGCTACGGAGTTAAAATACATAACTATTTTGCTACGAAAATTACTATGAAGCAAAATTTCGTAACAATTTTGCTACAAAATGATATTCCGTAGCTATTTTGCTACGAAATTTAGTTACGTAAATGAATTTCGTAGTTATTTTGCTATGAAATGAAATTCCATAGCTATTATGCTACGGAATTTTGCTACATAACTTATTTACATAGCTTTTTTGCTATGATGGAAAAATCTATAGCTCTTTTGTTACAAAAACTTTTATGGAACTAAGTTATGTGGCTGCTTTGCTACAGAATGGAACTTTATAGCTATTTTATCCTTAAAGTTTTTCTGAATTTTTTTAAATTTTAATAAATGACATATAAGGTAGGATAAAATATAACTGTGGTTCAATAATTAACAATAACCTGTGGCAGATCATGTATTTGCAAAAGAATAAAGAATTCAAATTGTATTTGTATTCTTTGCAACAGAGAGGGGTATAAAGAGTTCAAATTGTATTTGCAAAAGAAAGCAATTATTCTAAAATATATGAAATTTGACTTTTGTTCCCTTGCAAATATTCTGATGCTTCTTCCCTTGCAAATAAATTAACATATCTAGAGTCATCCTATAAGCAAAAGTCAAAGTCAGTTTGACTTTTATTATGATGTGAAATTAAAATTGTTTAAAGTTATGATGTAAAATTAAAAGTTTTTAAAGCTTGTACACACCTGAATTTACCAAAACATAGTTTTTCTCTGTAATACGAGGTCCAGATCTTTTTTTAGTTGTAAATTTTGTTTTCGATAAGTTTTATCCATTTAAACATTCTTAAGTCTCAAAAATATAATTAATACCTAAATTTGTATTTTATCGTGAAGAATTGGAGATTGTGAACCACTGAACCCTATAATCCTAATACTTCACCAAAAACATACCTTCCTCATTCCTCAGTTTTCCCCCGATCTCCACTTACGCCATTATCGATAGGACTTTGCTCTACGTGATCCGCCCCCAAATGATCTACGTGAACTATATAAATTCGATGTAGCTCCTCTCACAACTCTTGTTTGCTATGTCGTTTGTCGCCTTCTCTTATAACACCCAAAAATTCAAACCAATTTAAACATTTTAAAAACATTTCAAACCATTAAAAATCATTACAACTTTGTTTTCAAAATGTATAATATCAGAGTTTTCCCAGAAACATAGACAAAACATGAGGAGCTGTACGATCACGCCTTCGCCTTGCCGCGATCCCCTGATGTACCTGAAACAATAAACGGAAACTCTAAGCTCGAGAGCTTAGTGAGTTCCCCCAAAATACCGATACACATACAGTCCATATAAACATATCATAACAAACTGAAAAACATGTAATGGGTCCCCAGCTTTACAGACTGGATTACCCATGAGCCCACAGTACGAGTCTCCCTTTAGCCCGTAACTGGAATGCTCCCGAGCCCACAATACGAGTCTCCCTTTAGCCCGTAACTGGAATGCTCCTAAGGTCTGTTGGCTACCGCACGGAGCAGTACAACCTCAACCCATCCCACATAACATATAACATACCACATAACCACTAAGCATGTAATAATCATATAACATCACAGGTAGTCCTACAGGTCTACCTAACTGGCATAACTACTAGCAGGCAACACTAACTTATACTCAACATCTAACACTGCTAGGATAACATATCCAATGGGCCGGCCTTGGTGCCTTAGACCCCTTAGTATAGTGAGGATAACTCACCTTGCAACTGTCGTCTGAAACTAGAAAGCTCAACTCCCGGATCACCAACATGAACTCCACCACCTATAGTTACCATAAAACCATTTTTCATATATCTCCAAATTACCAGAATACCCTCAGAAGTCAACTGGTCAACTCTTGGTCAAAGTCAAAGTCCACAGTCAAAGTCAACAGTCCATGTTGACTCGACTCGTCGAGTGCAGTTCACCGACTCGTCGAGTCCTTCCTAAACTCGAGAAGTCGTGAAATCCTTGATTGGCTCGTCGAGTTCCCCTTTAACTCGCCGAGTTCATACGTGTCCAAGAATTGGGAGAAACCCTAGCCGACTCGCCGAGTCTTCGAACGACTCGCCGAGTTCAAGGCAATCTTCAACGGACTCGCCGAGTTTGTTCATCAACTCGACGAGTTCATGACCATCTTCATATGACTCGCCGAGTTGACTATGCAACTCGCCGAGTCCTTGCAGACCTTCATAAATGTAGACACTTTTCAAGCCATGCCAAGGTTCCAGATTACAGATCCAAGCTTCTAAGGCATGTTTGTCACGTAAAGTTGCAAACTATACACGAATGCAAGGCCCTAAAGGCTCTAAATGACCAATCTAAGCTTCTAATGGAGCTTTACACCATAGGAGAGTCTCATCCTTGCAAAAGCTGGAAACTTTATGGACTTAGGACTCAAAAGAGGTTCAGATCTGAAGTTTCAACTTCAAATCTAGCTCCCATACCAAAATCCCTTCATGAATAACTAAAGAAAGCCCTAGTTTCCACATATGAATGATTCTAGAACAAAAAGAGGTTAAGGTAACAGTTGGTTACCTCCAAAACATGCCCAAACTGAAGTAGACTCTGGATCCACACATAAATCTTGATGCTAGCCTCTTGATCTGCAAAATTCCTTCACAAAAGTCACTTCCCAAAGCTCCAAAACACTCTCCAAGCTCTCACTCGCGGAAATTAGGGTTTCTAGGTCTCAAGAGGGTGATAGAGGACAGTGGGAGGCGCTAATGGTCCAATATATAGGGTGCAAAACCCTGAAAATTAGGGTTTCCACTGCCAGCTCCTACTCGTCGAGTCTCTCATGCTGACTCGACGAGTCACTCATTAATTGACGTGTCCTGGCCCGCTGCTACTCGACGAGTCAAGTGCCAACTCGGCGAGTAGACCTTAGAAATGAAGTCTAAATGGAAAAAATTAATAATACCTGACGGTTGGGATGTTACAGTTCTCCCCCACTTGACTTAGACTTCGTTCTCGAAGTCTGCTGTAGCGAATAACTCTGGGTAATGCTCCCGCATCTCAACCTCCGACTCCCATGTCCACTCGGATCCCCTCCGATTCTCCCATTGTATCTTTACCAACGGAACCTCCTTGTTGCGCAGGACTTTCACTTTCCTTTCCAAAATGGCAATCAGTCTCTCAATATAATTCAGGCGCTCATCAATCTGAATGTCATCCAGTGGCACCACCGCCTCCGGGTCCACAATGCACTTTCGCAACTGCGAAACGTGGAAAGTACTGTGGATCCGACTAAGCTCCTCCGGAAGCTCTAGTCTGTAAGCCACCTTGCCAACCCTGACAATGATCCTGAACGACCCAATATATCGGGGACCCAATTTTCCCCTCTTCCTGGAGTGGATCATGCCCTTCCAGGGCGAGACCTTCAGGAGTACCATGTCACCGACCTGAAACTCTAACTCGGATCGGCGTCGGTCAGCGTAACTCTTCTGCCGACTCTGAGCGGTCTGCAGCCGCTGTCTAACCTGCTGAATCTTCTCGGTAGTCTGCAAGACCACCTCCGTCCGACCCATCACCCTGTGACCAACCTCACCCCAACAGACCGGGGTGCGAAATTTCCACCCATACAACAGCTCGAATGGCGGGGCGCGTATGCTGGAATGATAGTTGTTGTTGTAGGCGAACTCTGCAAGTGGTTGGTGGGAATCCCAGCTCCCACCGAAATCAATGACACACGCTCTCAACATATCCTAGAGGGTCTGAATGGTCCACTCGCTCTGACCATCAGTCTGTGGATGGAATGCTGTGCTGAAGTGCAACCGTGTGCCCAGCTCCTCGTGAAACTTCTGCCAGAAGCGGGAGGTAAACCTGACATCCCGATCAGAGACAATAGAAACGGGAACCCCATGGCGAGACACGATCTCGCAAACGTACACATCGACCAATTTCTCGACCGATGAGCTCTCCCGTATGGCTAAGAAATGGGCACTCTTGGTCAATCGATCCACGATGACCCATATAGTATCAAACCCCTTCGCCTTCCTCGGCAACTTGGTAATAAAATCCATCGTGATCTGTTCCCATTTCCACATGGGAATCTCCAGGGCTGCAGCTTGCCATGCGGCTTCTGATGCTCGGCCTTGACCATCCTACAGGTCAAGCACCTCTCGACGTACCAAGCGATTTCTCGCTTCATGCACGGCCACCAATAGCTCAAACTCAAATCTCGGTACATCTTGGTGGCCCCGGGTGAATAGAAAAATGAGACTTATGATCCTCCTCCATGACCATCTGCCTGACCCCACCAGACATCGAAACCCAGACCCGACCGCATCGGGTCAATAATCCTCGGCTATCCTGCACAAACCGGGCATTCTCACCCTTGATCCTCTCCAGCTTCCAATTCTCTGGTCGCATGCCCTCAACCTGGGCATCCCTGATCAAACTCACAAGCGGAGAGTCTACTGCTATCCTCATACATACCGCTGGGGCGGAAGACCCAGCTGACTTGCGGCTCAGAGCATCCGCAACCACATTCGCTTTACCAGGGTGGTAAAGGATCTCGCAGTCGTAGTCCTTGACTACATCCAGCCACCTGCGCTGCCTCATGTTCAGGTTTGGCTGATCCATGATATGTCTCAAGCTCTTGTGGTCCGTGTATATGGTGCAACGGACCCCGTAAAGGTAATGTCTCCATATCTTGAGGGCGAACACCACCGCCCCCAGCTCCAAGTCATGCGTAGGGTATCTTGTCTCATGCGGCTTCAATTGCCGCGACGCATAAGCTATCACTCGTCCTCTCTGCATGAGGACCGCCCCTAACCCTGTGATGGATGCATCACAGAACACCACAAAATCCTCAACTCCCTCCGGGAGTGTCAAGACTGGGGCCTCGCACAACCGCTGTCGGAGGGTCTCAAACGCCCTCTGCTGCTCAGGGCCCCACCGGAAATCCACCCCCTTCCTCGTCAGACGAGTGAGGGGTACCATAATCTTGGAGAAGTCATGTATGAATCTCCGGTAGTACCCTGCCAATCCCAAAAAGCTCCTGATGTCTGAGGGAGATTTCGGAACCTCCCACTGCATAACCGCCTCGATTTTGGCCGGATCGACCAAAATCCCCTCTTGGTTAACGAGATGTCCGAGGAACTGGACCTCTCGTAGCCAAAACTCACACTTCGAGAACTTGGCGTACAGCCGTTCTCGTCTCAGAACTCCCAACAACTCCCGCAGATGCTCCTCATGCTGCTCTCGGGTCTTGGAATACACCAAGATATCATCTATAAACACTATGACCGAGCGATCGAGCATCGGCATGCAGACCCGATTCATCAGGTCCAATAACACTGCTGGTGCGTTGGTGAGCCCAAACGACATCACCACGAACTCGTAATGTCCATAACGAGTTCGGAACGCGGTCTTCTCCACGTCCTCCTCTCTGACCCTGACCTGATGATACCCAGACCTCAAGTCTATCTTGGAAAACCAAGATGCACCCTGCAACTGATCGAAGAGATCGTCTATCCTCGGGAGTGGGTAACGGTTCTTCACCGTTAACTTATTCAACTCCCGGTAGTCAATGCACATCCGGTTGTGAACCGTCCTTCTTTCGGACAAAAAGAATCGGTGCTCCCCGTGGAGAACTGCTCGGACGGATGAACTGCTTGCCTAGCAGTTCCTGTAGATGTGACGACAGCTCCTGCATCTCTGGCGGTGCCAATCGGTACGACGCCTTAGCGATAGGGGCCGCACCTGGCACCAGGTCGATCCTGAACTCGACCTGTCTCTCCGGAGGTATCCCTGGCAACTCCTCCGGAAACACATCTGCAAACTCCCTGACCACCGATACATCGGAAACCGAAATATGATCCCTGACCCGCGTATCTACCACATACGCTGGATAACCCGCACACCCGTGCTGAATGTACTGCCGAGCCCTGACAGCTGAACAAAACCCTGATCCCACTCTGGTTCCCTCGCCATATACAATCAGTTCTCCCCCACTTGGGGTTCGAACTACCACTCGCTGGCCCTCGGAATCAATCATAGCACCGAACCGACTGAGCCAATCCATGCCTACAATCACGCACACCTCCCCCATGGGGATCGGAATCAAATCTATCGGAAAGGACATCCCGAAAATCTCCAAATCACACCCTCGATAAACTGAAGAAGCAGAAACCCCGTGTTCGTTGGCGATAGACACTCGCAACGGACACTCTAACTCACCTACTGGCACACTGAACTCCCTACTAAATGACTGAGATAGGAAGGACCGACTCACCCCCGAGTCAAATAAGACCAAAGCAGGCAAAGAGTTCACTAAAAACGTACCTAACCACAGGTACAACAGATAAGCATACAACAGATATAGAAAACGAGATAAAGGATAGAAACATACCAGCAACCACATCTGGTGCTGCCTTGGCCTCCTCAGCGGTCAACTGGAAAGCACGACCCTGAGCCTTCGGAGGCTCTGCCCTGACTGGTCTCCCATCTGTGATCCTCAAGGTAGTCGGCGCTGGAGCATGCGCCGGCTTGGCGGCTAGCAACGGACAGTTGGCCTTAATGTGGCCAAAACTGATCGCAGTGATAACATAACCTCATACCCTGAATCGGGACTGCCTGACGACAGTCCTTCGCGTAATTCCTCATCTTGCCATACCTGTGGAATCCACTATCAGCTCGACACACACCAGAATGACCCTTGCCGCACTTCCCACAAGTGCGGCTCTGCTGACCCCCGGTCCTAGTATCAGCGGTCTTAGACCGCTTCGGCGCCGGCTATGACTGTGCCGGGGCCTACCGGTGCTCCCTCAACTGCAGCTCAATCTCTAACTCACACCGTCTGACGGCCTCCTGCAACTCTAGAAGAGTATCACATCGCTGGGTAGACACAAACTGACGGATATCCGTCTTGAGCATGCTCAGATAACGGGTCATATGAGCCTGCTCTGAAGCAAACTCCGGGCAAAACATCGCCCTCTCAGTAAACATACGGGTGATCTCCGTCACCGACTCCCCATCCTGTCTCAAACTCAGAAACTCCTGTGCCAAACGTTCCCGCTCAACTCGCGGAATGTAACGGGCGCGGAACATGTCCCTGAACTGCTCCCAAGTAACAGCAGCTCTCTGATCATCAGTGTACGACCCAGTCGCAAGTCTCCACCAGTCCTTGGCCCCAGACCTAAGCAGGTTCAGAGCACACCTGACCTTCTGGTCAGCAGGACACGAGCAGGTGAAAAAACACCCCTCCACACCTGAAATCCATCTCATAGCCTTGATGGGATCCTGCGTCCCATCAAAAGTAGGGGGCTTCGTGTTATCGAAAATCCCTGTACTGGAAGCCCCTACCAACTCCTCCCCCTGCCGTTGATACAGCTGATGCAACTACTGCGGCAGCTGTCTCCGCAAGGGCTTCGTAGCGCTCATCAAAGTACTCCACCATGGTGGTCTTAATCGACCTAAACATCTCTGGTAACTGTGCCCGGAACGCAGCAGCAACCTCACCATGCAGGATCTCTCGGATCCTGGCATCCAACTCCTCTGTACCCATCTGCACCACTGGCTCGGGTGCTGTTGGCCCCTCCTGGCCTCTATCCCCTGATCCTGATCCCGAACCGGATCTAGCCACAAAGCGTCTCGTCATCACCATTCTGAAACATACCATAAGATATCAGATAATCCATATAAATAACTGGGAGCCAACTCCCGACTAACCCTAGGGATTGTGACTCACTTGACACGCGTATGGGTCATGTGCTTTCAGTAGTATGGGCCCCTACTACCTTCCACACCTACCCATATTTGTCTCAAGCATCACCACAATTCCCTAACTGAATACACAACATAGCGAGCGCTCAGTCCTCACTCCTAGAGGAATGCTAAATATCTCCTAACTGGCCTCTCGGCCTCACACAACCCACCTATCCATGAAACTTCCACCAACCCTGCAGCACTAGTGTATGCTAGCCATATATAACGCTGGAACCTATAGACTTTCGAATATCCAATCCTACCCTAAGCCCCCAATCAAACAAGAACAGAACATAAGGCCAAATCAAACATTCTCAGACTATAAGATCTTGGTTATGTATAACCGTGATGCATACACTAAGCAACTACAGTAATTATGTCAATCTCATATAAAGAAAACCCTAGGCTAGCAGGCATCATGTAATCAGGCAATTCTATCATGCAATTCCTGAAGATCCCTAGCCTAGTACTAACATGCTGTTCTAACATATCTCATAATCAAATAACTTGTATGGTATTTTGGGGTCTACTTACTGGCTCCGGCTGATCGTACATCCTGCATCCTCCTTTACTTATTTTGAAAACCTTTTTAAAGAAATCATTTTGAAAATCCTTTCCTTGATTTGAGACTGGAGTTACACGCATGTTCCTCCAATTCACTCAAACCAAGGCTCTGATACCAACTTATAACACCCAAAAATTCAAACCAATTTAAACTTTTTTAAAAACATTTCAAACCATTAAAAATCATTACAACTTTGTTTTCAAAATGTATAATATAAGAGTTTTCCCAGAAACATAGACAAAACATGAGGAGCTGTACGATCACGCCTTCGCCTTGCCGCGATCCCCTGATATACCTGAAACAATAAACTGAAACTGTAAGCTCGAGAGCTTAGTGAGTTCCCCCAAAATACCGATACACATACAGTCCATATAAACATATCATAAGAAACTGAAAAACATGTAATGGGTCCCCAGCTTTACAGACTGGATTACCCCTGAACCCATAGTACGAGTCTCCCTTTAGCCCGTAACTGGAATGCTCCCGAGCCCACAGTACGAGTCTCCCTTTAGCCCGTAACTAGAATGCTCCCGAGCCCACAGTACGAGTCTCCCTTTAGCCCGTAACTGGAATGCTCCTAAGGTCTGTTGGCTACCGCACGGAGCAATACAACCTCAACCCATCCCACATAACATATAACATACCACATAACCACTGAGCATGCAATAATCATATAACATTGCAGGTAGTCCTACAGGTCTACCTAACTGGCATAACTACTAGCAGGCAACACTAACTTATACTCAACATCTAACACTGCTAGGATAACATATCCAATGGGCCGGCCTTGGTGCCTTAGACCCCTTAGTATAGTGAGGATAACTCACCTTGCAACTGTCGTCTGAAACTAGAAAGCTCAACTCCCGGATCACCAACACGAACTCCACCACCTATAGTTACCATAAAACCCTTTTTCATAAATCTCCAAATTACCAGAATACCCTCAGAAGTCAACTGGTCAACTCTTGGTCAAAGTCAAAGTCCACAGTCAAAGTCAACAGTCCATGTTGACTCGACTCGTCGAGTGCAGTTCACCGACTCGTCGAGTCCTTCCTGAACTCGAGAAGTCATGAAATCCTTGATTGGCTCGTCGAGTTCCCCTTTAACTCGCCGAGTTTATACGTGTCCAAGAATTTGGAGAAGCCCTAGCCGACTCGCCGAGTCTTCGAACGACTCGTCGAGTTCAAGGCAATCTTCAACGGACTCGCCGAGTTTGTTCATCAACTCGACGAGTTCATGACCATCTTCATATGACTCGCCGAGTTGACTATGCAACTCGCCGAGTCCTTGCAGACCTTCATCCATGCAGACACTTTTCAAGCCATGCGAAGGTTCCAGATTACAGATCCAAGCTTCTAAGGCATGTTTGTCACGTAAAGTTGCAAACTATACACGAATGCAAGGCCCTAAAGGCTCTAAATGACCAATCTAAGTTTCTAATGGAGCTTTACACGATAGGAGAGTCTCATCCTTGCAAAAGATAGAAACTTTATGGACTTAGGACTCAAAAGAGGTTCAGATCTGAAGTTTCAACTTCAGATCTAGCTCCCATACCAAAATCCCTTCATGAATAACTAAAGAAAGCCCTAGTTTCCACATATGAATGATTCTAGAAGAAAAAGAGGTTAAGGTAACAGCTGGTTACCTCCAAAACGTGCCCAAACTGAAGTAGACTCTGGATCCACACATAAATCTTGATGTTAGCCTCTTGATCTACAAATTTCCTTCACAAAAGTCACTTCCCAAAGCTCCAAAACACTCTCCAAGATCTCACTCACAGAAATTAGGGTTTCTGGGTCTCAAGAGGGTGATAGAGGACAGTGGGAGGCGCTAATGGTCCAATATATAGGGTGCAAAACCCTGAAAATTAGGGTTTCCACTGCCAGCTCCTACTTGTCGAGTCTCTCATGCCGACTCGACGAGTCACTCATTAATTGACGTGTCCTGGCCCGCTGCTACTCGACGAGTCAAGCGCCAACTCGTCGAGTAGACCTTAGATATGAAGTCTAAATGGAAAAATTAATAATACCTGACGGTTGGGATGTTACATCTCTATCAATCGGTAGGTTGTAGGAGCATAAAGAACGACTGATTCTCGGTGAAGATAGATCAACGGCGAACGACTCAGCTGCTATCTTCATTTCTCTACGACTGCGAAGATCATTGAACATCTGATTCCCGGTGAAGATCGACCAATGGAAAATGAAAAATGCTCTCTTCATCTCTCTGCGACTGCACGAAGATAACCGACTATCTCGATCTCTATGCTACCTTGTAGCTTATAGGTATGCGCTTCCGTTATTTGTGTGTAACTTGTAACCGTGCCCTAACATTTAGTCGTAATGTCATTGCAAATATCACCACCACAACTGATGGAAATGTTAATTTAGATTTGTTGGTGATTGTGTGCTTGGATGGTGAAACTTCAATTGATAATGAGATTTACAAATTCATGAACCCTAATTTGAAGATGCGAAATGATTGAGTGAACGAGGGAATGGCGTTTGATGGATAACCATGAGTTTAGTTATAACTTTGGGGGCATTGGACAATAGTATTGACCAAATTTTCTTCATCTCTGTCGATACTATATTTTTCTAACTGAAGTTGGCATTTCATGCTCGTTTTTGCAGGTCACTCAGATCCTACGAAGTTAGAATTAAAAGCTCATGATGTTCAATAGTTATCTATAGATGAGCTACACAATCATCATATGGAAATCAAGGTGAGAAACTGAGCCATATACGATGTGCTAACTTACAATTGAGCTATGTTGGGCTCTTAAGCACCTATGCTTCTTTGAGCACAAAACTAAGGATATTCTAGGTTATGTTAAACTCAAACCCCTTTTTTTTCAAAATACAGACGACGTGCAAAAACAACATGCTATCGAGAGGCCACAATCTTTCCAAAATACCTACTTGCAAGAACCAGGTTCTCTACGATGATGCATAACCTAATCTTAGATCATTAATGAAATAAAAAATACCATCGATTCTATGCTAATCTAATACAGAGGTAACAAATGATGGTAATACTAATAATGTAGTTTCTGTGTTCTACTAATATGATTACCATATTCATAATATGGTAATAACATGTATCTGTTGAATACTTCCTGCAATAGAGCATATTAGTTATTGAAATACTGAACTCATATAGTCATATGTCAATTATTAACCTTAATTTATGAGTCTCACATGTTTTTAGGATATGTAAGTGTAACATTATCTATTAGTCTCCATATTTATTATTTTCTCTGTGTTTCAATTTTCAAACATAATTACTAAAAAATTTATATGCTCAAAACTATTCTTTCCTAATAGAATTCAAATTTTTAATCAATGTCTTTAGTTTGTTCTTTATGACATGCTTATAAAATTTTCATGGTGATGTTTTATGCTGTCTATTGTATGTTTTTTACATTTAGGAACTTGTGGAGAAATTAGAAATGCCATCGGATATAAAACTAATGTGAATTGCTATTGATGACTTAAATAATTGCATGATGACTTGTAAAAAATTTGGTTTGTTTTTCTTTATTCCAGGTTTTGCTCTACTCTTATTCACTATGCTTCTTGAGATAATTTTTTTTAGCTTTGGTTTGTTTTTCTTTATTCCAGGTTCTGCTCTACTCTTAAAATGAAAAACGATCCACCAAATGACACGTCAGCATTACCACTAAAGATTGTATCTTTTCTTGTTGAAAGTGTAGCTCAAAATACAACTAGCAGTGTATTTTTACCTGATGCAGGTCTTTTCAAATATAGTAAATATTTTTCTATAATATTTAATATTAAATGATACGTATTATTTTTGGTATTTAATATGGAGGCCAAGAAATTGAGGTTTCTGGATCACCAACAGAAAATGGCATACTTCAATGGGGGGTTAATGTTAGTTCTTCATTCATATTTTCAGTTTTTTTATACATTTACTAATTAAATGATACTCATTTTTTTTACAAAATAAATACAGATTGGGATGAATTTTGTAGCAGTTAGATCAGAATCTTCGATTATTCATGCATTCCCATTTAACTCGAAGAAAAAACGAGGCGATGTTGCTGTAAAACGGGTAATTTTATTGGATTATTTATAAAAGATTTTAAATGGTTCACATAAAAAGTATATTTTTGATTTTTTTTAATTTTCTCAATAGCCTGATTCTGAAGTTCATGTACACTGGAAAAGGGCAGCTGAAATTGTGTTAGCAGCATGTACAAGATACATGGACATTGATGGACAACTTGTCCTCCTCAATGAAGAAAATGTTAGAGATTTCATCTTGATTGAAAAAAAGAACAAATTTTCTAATTTGTGATTGTTTACATTACAGGTGGAATATTTTAAAAAAGCGATTGAAGATATGGCTTCTGGAAGTTTGCGTTGTGTTGCTATTGCATACAGACCATGTGAAGCAGAAACTGTTCCAACTGGCGAAGATGAGCTGGCACAATGGGAGCTACCTGAAGGCGATCTTGTCTTGCTGGCAATTGTTGGTTTAAAGGTATGTGAATGTCCATGTCCATGTCAGCAAAGAGATTTATATATATTTTGATACACGGTTTTCCTTGTAGGATCCATGTCGGAAAGGTGTCAGAGAGGCTGTTGAACTGTGCGTAAAGGCTGGTGTGAAGGTAGTAATTAGTATACAATATTTAATTATTATTTTTGTAATTTTGGGTAAATGATTTTTTATTTTATTTATTTGTAATCCATGTAATTGCATTAGAATGTGGAATTTTGGAATCAAATGCTGATGCAGAAGAGCCGAATCTAATTGAAGGGAAATCTTTTCGTGCCATGTCAGAAGACCAAAGACTAGAAGTTGTTGAGAAGATTTTTGTATGTGAATTTACTATTTTGACCCTAGTCGAGTAGTTGTAAACAAGTTTTATAAGAATGTAATGTTGATTTTGAAACAGGTGATGGGGAGGTCTTCACCTAATGATAAACTGTTACTTGTCCAAGCGTTGAGGAAGAGAGGACATGTTGTTGTTACTGGAGATGGAACAAACGATGCCCCTGCTCTACATGAGGTAGTAATTAAAGATTTTTCATCATCAGTTTAATTATTTTTACTGTATTTTATATATTTTTTTATGAAAATTGTAGGCTGATATTGGTCTTGCTATGGGCATCCAAGGAACTGAAGTTGCAAAAGAAAGTATTGACATCATTATCTTGGATGATGATTTTGCTTCAGTCGTAAAGGTACTGTTGTATATTATATATATAATGCTCTTAATTACAAAAAATTAATTGTATTTCCAATGATTAATTTAATGTGTGAATTAATTTAATTATAAACAAACAAACCAATTCCACTCCACTCCACTCAAGGTGATAACAAAACCATATGTTTAAGCTTTGGTTCTAAAGATGATTCATTTTGTTTTGTGTTCATTTTCAGATTTTATATTTTTAG